TCTACAGGATGTCCCCTAGGGAGTTAGAGGAGCTACGCAAGCAGTTAGACGAGCTCCTCGCGAAAGGTTGGATCAGGCCCAGTTCGTCTCCTTTTGGAGCACCAGTCATGTTTGTCCCCAAGAAGGAAGGAGAGCTTCGTATGTGTATAGACTATAGGGGTTTGAATGCGATTACTGTGAAGAATGTTGAGCCGCTGCCCAGGATAAACGATCTTCTAGATCGGGTGCAGGGTTGCAAGTATTTCTCTAAGATAGACTTGAAGTCCGGATATCATCAGATAGAAGTCCATCCTGATGACCAGTACAAGACTGCGTTCCGGACTAGATATGGGCACTACGAGTTTATAGTGATGCCCTTTGGACTAACCAACGCGCCAGCCACCTTTCAGCGTTGTATGAATGACCTGTTTAGACCTTGGTTATAAGTTTGTAGTAGTTTATCTAGATGATATATTAGTTTTCAGCAGGACCCTCCAAGAGCATCAGGGTCATTTGAGGCAAATCTTGGAGAAGCTGAGAAAAACTAACTTCAAGATTAACGCGAAGAAGTGCGAATGGGCCAAGACACATGTTTTGTACTTGGGCCACGTGTTAGACGGAGATGGCATTAAAGTCAGAGGACAGCAAGATAGCGGCAATTAGAGACTGGTCGACGGCCCGCACGTTGACTGAGTTACGGTCGTTCCTAGGCCTCGCTAACTACTATAGGAAGTTCGTGAGGAACTTCTCCACTATCGCCGCTCTCTTGCGCAGGTTGCTAAAGAAAGAGGCAATCTGGCAATGGGACAAAGACTGTATGTCAGCGCTAAAGAAGTTAAAGCGCGCATTGATAAAGCACCCTGTCCTCAAAGTAGCTGATCCGTCTTTGCCATTTGTCGTCACCACGGACGCAAGTCAGTATGGTATAGGCGTTGTGTTACAGCAGGATGACGGCAATGGCTACAGACCCGTAGAGTTCATGTCGGCGAGGATGCCCTCAGAGAAGGTTGTCACCTCGACGTACGAGAGGGAACTCTACGCTCTCAGGCAGGCCTTAGAACACTGGAAGCATTACCTACTTGGGAGGCACTTCAAAGTATACTCAAACCACGAAACTCTTAGATGGTTAAAGACCCAGGCCARGATGACACCTAAGTTGACTAGGTGGGCCGCTGAGATAGACCAGTATGACTTTGAGCTCAAACCGGTCAAAGGCAAGTACAATGTAGTTGCGGATGCTCTAAGTAGGAGATCAGACTACTTTGGAGTTATAGTACACTATCTGGATATAGGGAAGGACCTGCAAGAGAAAGTCAGACAGGCGTATGCGCAGGACCCTATCTATAGTAACCTCCTCAAGAGAGTTAAGGAGGTCCCAGAGACCGAACCAGACTACCGCACTACTGAGCGACTATTGTTTGAGAAGACTAATGTAGTAGACCGCCTGTGCATCCCCAATAGTGAGGAGATCCGTAGTCTAATCCTAGGGGAATGCCATAATACAGAGGGACACTTCTGTTGGCAGAAGACTTTAGCCAATCTCATGCGTGCGTACACCTAGCCAGGGATGAAAGCTGATTGTATAGAGTATGTTCGCAGTTGCAAAGTTTGCCAGAGAAACAAGACCACTACACGCACCCCTCTAGGTCTTCTTAGACCCTTGCCTATTCTAGACCAGCCGGGAGACTTAGTCTCTATTGATTTTATGGATGCCGGTGTCAAGAGTAGACATGGCCAGAGCCAAGTCATGGTCATAGTTGACCGATTCAGTAAGTATGCTGTCTTTGTTCCCTTGCCTGCAGAGGCCCATACAGATTTAGTTATACGAAAGTTCTTTGACTTTTGGGTTAGCGAGAATGGAGTCCCGTTGTCAATAGTTAGCGATAGAGATAGTTGTTTCACCAGCCAGAACTGGCAAGAACTCATGGGAGTTTACGGATCTAAGTTGTTGATGTCGTCTGGCCACCACCCAGAGACCAACGGTCAGACCGAGCAAATGAACAAGATCCTACAGCAAGTTCTGCGCATGTACATTAGACCCGACCAGATCAACTGGGACGAGATGTTACCTAAGGTAGCTAGCGCATACAATAACAGCGTGCATCTGTCCACCTGTCGCACTCCCAATGAGCTGCACAAGTCCTTTAGACCGCACAGACCATTCGAAGGACTGAACCGGGATCAGGTTCACAGGCTACCGCCCGGTACCAGGAAGTTTGCGATACAGCACGAGAAAGAATTAGCTACCGTTGTTGAAAACCTCAGGAAGGCCCAGCACAGAATGATAGAACAGGCTAATAAGCATTGTCGCCCCTCGCAGTTTCAGGTAGGCGACTTAGTCTGGGTCAAGTCTAAAGAGTTTGCACCTGAGGAGCACATCTCGCAGAAGTTACTACCTGCATATAGAGGACCGTGGCCAGTTCTAGAAGTCAAGGGCGGAGAGGATGGGTCGTCCTACACAATAGAGATTCCAGCACACCTCCACACTTATCCTGTATTCCATGCCTCAAAGCTGTTGCCGTGTGTCACAAGTCAACAGTTCCCTTCCAGAAGATCCATGATCCCGCTGGATATGGATGGAAGATATGACATTGATGGCATTGTAGATGAAGATGTGTTCAGGACAGGAGGTAGAGGTCGTCCACAGAAACAATATAAGGTCCGGTTTGCTTATCAGGAACCGGAAGATGACCGCTGGTTTACTAGAACAGAACTTCTAGAAACAGCTCCCAACATAGTCAGAGCCTATGAGCGTGATAAGAAGGGTAAAGGTCCTGCCTTGGACTGAAATATTCTCGGAGGACCTCGAATTTAGGACGGCGGGAGTGAAACGGTTTTCACCTCTTTGCAGTAGCAGATGCAGATCCCAGGGCTTGATCCCTAGACCTTGCCCTACCTGTGTACAGTACCTGTGTAGACCCTGAGAGTTGAACCTGTGACCTGTGTATTCGTAAACAGTTGGTAGGCTGTCATAGGTCCGTAGGTAGCAGGGGTTCGATCTGTGGACCTGTAGAATAGAAGTCTTAGCGAGTTCCAGAAGTCTTAGCTGTAGCCCTTCTAGAAGGTCAGCAAGTGGGCAAGTGGTGAGTCAAGTGGTGGACTAACTGCAGTGCAATTGCAGTACGACCTCGGTAGGTTAGCAGTGAGTCCCCATTCAGTCAGCGGTAAGGTCCAGTCAGTCCCAGTCCGGTCCAGCAAGTACCACAAGGGACTGTAAGCACCATGGGCCGATGGCAAAGGGCAGACCAACGAGTTTCAGAAGTATAAATCAAGAGGCAGCGCCCAGCCATTCATTCATTCCTGCGTGAGCCATGCGGAAGCGCTGCCACAGCGACTTTTGCAAGGAGGTCTGCAGTGAGCCCGGAGCTGAAGTGGGCAAGAGAGAAGGCTGTCTCTTATACACATCTAGATGTGTATAAGAGACAGTGCGTGAGCCATGCGGAAGCGCTGCCACAGCGACTTTTGCAAGGAGGTCTGCAGTGAGCCCGGAGCTGAAGTGGGCAAGAGAGAAGGAGCGTAGCATAGCGATAGGGTAGTTGCGGCCATAGCCGCCATAGCTAGAGTTAGTGTGTAGCAAGTGTGTGTGTGTGTGTGTGTAAGTTCAGAGAGTCGCGTGTGGGATATCCAGGGTGATCCTGTGTATGTGAACAGTGAGTTGTTTGGGCGCTGAGTCGCCATAGCCAATTGAAAGTGAACTCGTATCTGGATGCCATATCTCTGAGTTTTGAGTGGCCGCATGTCGCCAGTTTGCTGCGCCACTATTTACATGCATGAAAAGTGTGAATGAAAGCGAGTCTGATTGTAGAAGAATTCTCCGGTGACATGGGTTTGACCAAGTCTGTATGGTCAACAGTCAGAGTCAAGATACTAAGCCTGGTCAGAAATGTCAGTGCTGGTATGGTCAACAGTCAGAGTCAAGATCCTAAGCCTGGTCAGAAAGGTCACTGCTTCGAGGCTGATTTTGAGACTTTTGTTCCAGGGAATAAATTTAATATAGGGGACGGGTTTGACTCAGAGTGTGGACAAAAATGACGGTTAAGCCTTCCTGAGGAAATAATCAATGCCATCAGGGATCCCCAGGCCATAATGTGCGGCGGCGTTCATAGCATAAATGTAATGTGCTTTTGACCGACTTGCTGGTGGAATGGGAACCAGACTGATGCTCCCCACAATGGATACGGAGCCAGGCCCATAAGGACCTGGTTAAAGGCTGGTTTTCTTTTTTGTTTTCTCTAAAAGAAAAGTATCTGGAATCCTGGTTCGTGTACACAAATATTATCTGAAGCACTGGATGTCCCTCCAAACTGGACTTAGTGACGCTCTTTAGTCTTGGTTTGCGGAGAAGCTGCAGAGAAGCTTATCTTTCATGACTGGTGTTTGTTTGACAACTCACTACGGCAGTGAGTTTGGATTCATCACACCGTGTGATTCATTACATCTAGGCTATGTAGACTGAGCTATTTCTCTCTATGTGTTATCAGAACCAACCTCGAGGTGAAACAGCTGATTATCTACTTGCTTCAAAGGTAGCCTTAAAAGTTGCGCCCGAATTTCATTCAGAGAAAAACGGATGAAGAAATGGAGAACCGCCGGAAACGGGTAGAAGGAAAAATCGCAACCCTACCAGCCCAAAAGCTAATGAACCCCCTTTTTAGGCCACAACTGCCTCCATACACCATCACGGTTGATGGCGATTTATAAGAGTGCAGCGCGCTGTGTCTTGAGCGGCTGCTAACAGGTGTGATGAAGAAATGAGAGCAACAGCGTCCAGCCATCATGACCGCCATCAAAATGGTCCAAGGCTGGCACCACCTTTTTTTCCCAGCTGCCAGTGGTCACCCCAGGTTTGGCATGTCCAGCCAGACATGTTGAATTGGCTTGAAGAGCTTAAAACAAACAAAAGATTGGCACACAGGTTCAGATGTGATAAAGAAATGAGAAGAACAGGGAAAGGAGAGGCTTTTGACACACAGGTTCAGATGCAGTGGTAAATAAAATCAAACAAAAGATTGCAAGCTTACCTGATTTGACTCCACACTCCTGAATTAGAATACAGCTGTTCTCTGCTGAGCATGTGGAATTGGCTCTAGATACCCTCGAGCCCCTTTTTTCGGATATAGAACAATTCCCTCCAACAGAAGTTCTTGGTACGGGAAGTGTGAAAAGTCGGCTGAACTCCTGCCACCAGCCAGTGTCACTTCCAATTGATGTCTCCATACCCGAAACATTCAGAGGCGACCCGTTAAATTCTTGGCTTGAAGGGCTGATTGCTTCGTAACTCCCCCAAAAGCCACCCGGAGAAGGCAATGCACTAGTATTCTCTGAACCAGGCCCAGGAAATTGTGTACTAGACGAGCTGAGTTCAAACCCACTGACATAACCGCTGGGGGACGATGTGGGAGCATCTTTCAAAGATGAACCATGGATACCATTGCTCAATTTCTGTTGACCCAAAGAGCCAACCTCATACCCACCTACATCACCACCAGGCGGGGGTAAGTTATTCGTACCTGCACCCTTCAGAGCTGATGCATTGTCGTTAATTGGACTTTCGGCAGAGGGGTGGGGCCAAAGCGTCCCTAAACCATCGTGTGGAAGAATATTGGCTAAAACTGGATCTTTCATGTAAGACCCAGTGTTGGATAATTGTTGACCGGGATCAGACTCATTGTTGGATGACTGTTGATCAGGAGAGCTGACTTTCTCATCGTAATCCATAACGCCATCCCGTGGAATGTGACCCAACTCTCCTCCGCTCTTCAAAGCAGTGACATTATTAGATACTGCCCTGACACCATCATGCGGAGGGCGACCAAACAGCTCTGCAGAGTCTGCACTCTGTAGGTCAGAGTCATTACTAGATCCTTGTGTACTTATAGTATCAAATTGATGCCTCTCAATTCCATCATGAGGTGGCAAATTGACTTGGACCGCATTGTTTGCAGCATTTGTATTTGAACCGTTATTACTTCTACTGTTGTTACGATCGAACTGTTCATGACCAGAGGTGTTAACTTCATATGTTCTGGTGTCAGCAGGTGGGTGCATACTGAACATCGACGCATATTTCAAATCAAATTGACTCGATGTCTCATCTGACATCTGAATCAGAGGGCCATCTGCAAATGTCTGGCTGTCATCATCAGGGGCCAATGGACCTCCATCCTTGGAATCAAGAAGGTTTCTTCTCCGAAAAGGAATATCTGGCACTTGTCCCCGTAATCTTTTGATTGCTGTGTCCGTGTCCATGTCAGGCTCCGCCTCTTTTGGTTCTTCCCAATGTTCCAATGCCTCGTTCATTGCACGTGAAAATCTTTGTTCCACACCTGTGTCACCAAGAAGACCCTTTTTCTCCGATGCAGAGTATGCAGTCTTCTCATAATCATGATGAACTTCCTGACGGGGGGTAACGTAATGCTCATCCTCATAATCAGTACGATCATTGTGCATTTGGTGCTGTTGCTGCTGATCTTGCTGCCTCCTTTCACCCAGACGATGATCACGGCCATACATTAACCTCATAATTGGCTCCAATGCACTCTCAGTTTCAGCAGGCCAATGTATTTTCGCAATGCAAACTCCCCCAGTTTGTGAACTAACACATGCTGTCGCACAACTTCTGTTATGCTTCAGGACTTGGTTGATGCCGCCATGACTGTCATGCCAATGACGATCATTGACATATGCACATTCACAGTTCCCCGTGAACGTGAGGTTGTAACATGGATCAAAACGAAAACCTGCATTCATGTTTTGTTTCCATCGCCACACAGTGGCATGCACACATGACCACATAATTAGACATCGAGATTGCTTCAGAGATCCAATACAGCATGTAGGCAACCAACACCCAGTCAGCCAACAGCAACAAAGAGGAGCAGCGACAGGAGGAGGGGAAAAGAGAAGAAGAGATTAAAAGACAAGACACAGACAACAAACTACCACCACAGCAGGCCAGTCAACACTCACTCCACTCCGAGCTTCAGCTAAGGCCTGACCACACTACCACCCTCTGAGCACCTGGGAAATGGCACACAACGTGCAAGTTTCTTTGCAACTCAGCAGCTGCATCATAGTTCGCATTAGGACCATCCTGGATCCAAATGGCGTATAGGTTTTCTAATTCTGTTGGGCTGCATGGTTTCCAGCCATAGTGCAAACCACATTAGTTCATCTAAAACGAAAAAGACAAGAAATGCAAAGAGCCTGCAGGTGGGCACTGTAGTGCCGAAGGTCTGGCAAGGGGTCCAAAAGAGAGTTCTGGAAGTTAGGGCCCAGTAAGAAAAGAAAAATAGTCCAAAAGCGAGTTCCCGAAGTTAGGGCCCAGTAAGAAAAGAAAAATAGTCCAAAAGCGAGTTCCCGAAGTAAGGGCCCAGTAAGAAAAGAAAAATAGTCCAAAAGCGAGTTCCCGAAGTTAGGGCCCATAAGAAAAGAAAACATAGACCGACAGGACGTAGTATCAGTTGGTCAGAGCACCGTCTTTGCAAGGAGGAGGTTGAGGGTTTGACACTGCCAACCCTCATCCTCTCCTGCACACACATAGATAGTGTTAGTTTGACACCTCAAGTACTTGTCCCCAGCCTAGCGCAGTACACTACTACACACACATGAGGTGACATGTTACACAGGGTCTGTAGGGGTTGTAAGGGGTTTAGGGCACTATCCCTTTGGGTGCCTTGGGGGGGGGTATGTTGAGGTATAGTACTAGGTGAGGGAGCATTGCTCTCCTAAGGCATCATTATGGTGGGCAGTGAGCATCATTTTTTTTTCTTTTTCTTTTTCTTTTTAAAAAGCCCAGGTTGTTGTAGAGGCTGGATTACAGACATATGACAGTCACCTTCGGCACTCGGCCATGTGGTGAAGCCCCCTTAATCCTATAGGACTCCCTCCCAACCTACCTCTTTCGTAATTTCTCCCGCCGCACTCCTACTCCCACTATCATACCTCAGTGTCGACCACTCAGGATTGTCACCCTCCAGCCTTGGGGGTGACCTGACCGAACCATGGTTGTAGGTACCAGGGCTAAGCTGAGTCCCACACACCCCACTCAGCCCTGATCGAAGCATATTTGTGTGAGCCTTGTCGCCCAGGTACTTCAGGTGCTAGGTACAGACGTTTCACTACAAGTCCCATAGGTCTATTTTGCGTTCCTATCGTTGTGTACACAGCTGTTGTTACTGTTGTTTGTTGTTAGGTTGTTCGCTGTGCATACTGTTGTCATTACTGCCTGTTTGTCCATAGTGAACTGAACATAGGAGGCAGGCAACCCAACCAATCCTGCGGAGAGCCCCACCGACACAAGAGCCCTACCAGCACCGGCCATAGACTGTACTAAGTCTCACTCTCATCAACTGTTCCTCATTCCATGGGCGGTCTGTAGGGTCCTAGTTCAGACAGACATTGACCGTGGATTGTACTAAGTCTCACTCTCATCAACCGTTCCTGTTCCACGGGTGAGCTGTCCTAAGGGAAGCCCTCATCCTAACCCCTCCCGTGCCTAGTGGCTGACCCCCCCAGATCTCCAGCTAGCAACGGGTCCCCCTACTCTAATCTTGCCCCAAGAAACCTACCAACACCGATCACAGTCTGTAATAAGTATCACTCTCATCAACCATTCCTGAGTCTATGGGTGGTGTGTAGATCTCTTGGTCCTGCCTCCCACTAGGTAAGCGAGTTTTGAACACACGACCTCATCCATGCAATTTTCTATCAAACCTACTGAGCTACTGTGGAAGCTGAACGATTTGTGCGCAATATCGGACTGGAAGGCAAATGAACAATCATCCTCAAGTATGCAAGCCCGCAAAGAACCACTGGAACCAAGAGCATCAGGCAAACATCCCACAGCCCAAACCCAACATACAACAACCATGGACTTGCCCCTGGGTGGTGCGCAAGCAGTGTCTGTAAGAGCTTACCTGCGTCAGCCCAGGGGAGTGTGTTCAGCCGTGCATCATTCTAACGCCCTGCCGGTATCCATGTGCAAGGCTGCGGAGTTTTGAACCTGCAACCTCATACCACAATGCGCATTTCCAGCCGGTGCTCTAACCACTGAGCTACATCAACTGGACATCCTTGTAGGAAGCGAGCGCAGCATCAGGGCACGGTCTACCTGAATCATGAGGGGATGGGTGGGTTTGCGGGCTTGATGACGCCTCCCTGTTCAGTAGGCGAAGGCCCCTGCTGTGCAGATGGCAGGGTAGATCAGTACGAGAGGGGGCGGTTAAGAATGGCAGGGTAGATCAATAGGAGACGGGGCAGCTAAGATTATCATCCCCGTATATATTTGAACACATACTGAGTACATATCAGGCTAGGGTCTTGGAAGTAACAGGTGGGGAGCACATATGCCGTTGGACGGACTATGTAGAATCTATCAGACTATATATACACTAGCACAACTACTGATACAACATCAGCACAGAAATAGAGCATAACAAATTTGTAGCTGACCAATTATCTGATCACATACGGAATGCTGAATTGAGTTCAGAATACTAGGCGGTGGGGTAGAACTTAGGGTTAGGATTCTCATAGGTTAGACCTTGACCCAGGCCACTAGACACTGACTGTATAGTCTATGCAGGATGCTCTAAGTACTGACCCCTGATGAGAGGGGGCGATATCAACTCTTCGGTCTACTCGCAGGGCTTGTGGTGGAAATCGGTGCATGCCTAGCATTGGAGGTACTCTTACAACATGGCTTGTCCCATAATGCCTCAACTAGGGCTGATGGGGCTTCCCATTCAGTATCAGGTCACCCCACCAAGGACAGGTAGATGGGTGATGGTCCTCAGTGACATAGGACTGGGTTGCGGCAGGGAATATCACAAGGTGGGTGGGTGGGTGGGGTCTTGTGAGGAGCCGAAGATAACACAATCCTTAAACCACCACTACCTTCCCACTACCTTTCCGGCTGGGAGGCTAAGTCGTAAAAGTAACCTATACCGCATTCTTCAGAGGCCGGCAGCGGCTGGGCGCTACCGGATCACAAAGGCTGGCGGCGCCAGATAAAAGAAAATAAAAACGTCGTGCTGGTGCTTTGGCCCCCCGTTGGCGCATGCTTCGACTCCGCCTAGGCAGCCTCCCCGAGCATGCTAGTGGTGCCTGCCCTTATCAGCACCCCTAGCGCTCACTCGGGTTGTTTCTTGTTGAAAAAAAA